CTCTCTCTACTTATTCTCAGTCTAAATGAAAAGACCTAAAGGCCACCAAACTCATCCTAAGAGGGAAAATCCTCCTGAGAAATTCTATGTTCGCAAGTCCAATGTCATACTTTTCGTCTCTTTAAGTTTTCTGAGTACTTAAGGAATTTGAGGAGGCTTTAAGACACAGTCTCCAAGAAAGAATATTAAGATAGCAGTAGTACAGTATTCACTCCCACCATGATTTCAAAAGACCCAAATCGTAATCTTAAAGCTTGATTCAAACGAAATCAAGTTGGCTGTCTTTAGTTTGCTCATGGGTAACACTCCTTAACAGAGCAAGTAAGGGCATTCTCTGCCAACAGCGTGCCCCTCTACGTGCTCACTGCGTCTCACAAAGCCCGCTCTCCACTGGGCACGGAGTGTAAGACACAGCAGAAATGCCAATGGTAAAGAGCGCTCATGTGGACTTCCCTTCTCTTTTCCAACTCCATCCATTTTTCCCATCCCACTCGCATCCTGATTCCTGGGGAGTATATTCTGACAAAAGCAATTACTTCATTTTCTATATCACATTCTAAAATGCTGAATACACCTGCTTTACTTTTCATTCACTCCCTCTTGTTCTAATACTAATTATTATCACACTACTTGGCCATTTTTAAATGATCCAATTAATAAAACATGTTTATATTTGGAAAATATCTTCCCAGGAGAAAAATTTCTTCCTATGCTAAAAACAAAAGATAAAATACACTACACAGTGACTATAAGACATGTCCATGATCTAAGAATATAATACATTCTCCAATAATAATTATCTCTTTTTTTTGTTACTATTGGGGCACTATGTTAACTGCTTTTACTGTATTTCCTCTCATTCTTTTCCTGCTTTACAGATGAGGAAACAGGCTCACAAAGATTAAGTGACTTCCACAAAGCCACCTAACAGATCCAGAGCCAGGATTTTAACTTCGGCTGACCCGATGGAGAGCCCTCACTTCTCCCATGGCATGCACGCTCTCTCGTCTGCCCACAGAAGACTTGTTTTATGGGCCTCCTTACTGACTGCTGACATCACAAGCCATGATTCAGCAAGGAGTTGAGGCTGGGGAAAATAGGAAAATCTATTTCTGGTTATATACCAAATTTTTAAATTGTTTTTTAACTTCTTAGTATTGAAAAATAACTTATGACCTTTCCTAGAATGAACAACCAAGAGTTTCATTTCTAATTTTCATAGAAATATCATTAGCATGTTCTGCGTTTGGCATACATAGAAAAAAGTGTATATTGCTTTCTTCTGAAAATATAAAAGATGAAATGTAAAAACTAAACAAATTTCAAACTCAGTGTAACACAGTAATTGAAACACAATGTCTGTGAATTCAACATAGGCAGGCCCCTATTCTTGCATACAATGCATTCCTAAAACCATGCTAAAACTGAATATGTGAAACAGCGGACTTAAGTACTTTTTGAGATGGGTACTAGTTCAGAGAACTAAAAAACACATGAAATATTCCATAACATTTTGAACCCAAAGTTGAAAAATTTACATCTAATGAATACAGGAAAGAACGGAAGACTGTCGCTTGAAGCACTCCCAACCAATGCCATCTCTGTCCATACAGCATTAAGTGTCTGCAATTTATGCTTCTCAATGCTACTATCCAGAACTTTTATTTTCCTATTTAGCACTCATTTTCATTAAGTAAGAGAAAACATACTCAAACACTCCAATTGTTACACAAAAATTACCACATACACAAGGACAGTAGTATCTCCAAATATCAAACCCTGGCAGGCAACAATGCCACCATGCACTAGTTCCATACGTTCACCTGTCACCTAATATACACAGATGTCCAGAAGTAACACCTAAAAGGCATTCATACAAATCAATATATAATGTGCAAAAGTTTGGGTATGCACAAAGATCAAACATACAAATGTTGAAGACTATAATTTATCAAAACACTACTATAAAAGTTATTGCTGTGATTCTTCCTTAGAGATGTAGCAAACCCAGAGGCATGGGTGTACTAGTTTCCCAAGGATGTTCCCACCGAAGGGATTCCCCACAGTGTTTACACATACCTAGGGCTTTCTGCTCCATTAACCATCCCATCACGTTACTTTATGAAGATCATTAAGACCTGGTGAGAGGATTCCATACCATCTGAAGTGGAGCAGTGGACTAAGAGGAGGGGGGTAATCGGTAAGAACCCCCCTCCAACTCTAGTCAGCCATTCCGATCCAGGAAAGGACTCCTGGGAACCTTTAATCCTCTGAAAACCTTTTTATGCACATTCACATGCACTCAGTGGCTCCTTCCTCTCTGTTCCCACAGCAATTTCTATACCCTTATTATATCTTTCATTAAGGTAAAGACTGTATTCCACTCATCTCCGCATCTGTCCCAAGAACTTGCACAAGGCCTGGCATACAGTAGTCACTTGAACATGTATTAGTTAGATCAGTGAATAAAAGACTATGAATAAATCCTGCTATCTTAATTTAAACTACATTTTTATAGAGATTATATAGAAAATCGATTTTCAAAGTCTGAAAATAACACTTGACAAATACGTCTTTAACTGACTAAATAAATGCCAAGTTCCCTGATTCTCCAGCAGACTGTTCAATATTGTTCCTTAAGAAACAAGTGCAGCTGTCTTTATTATAGCATCTTCTCCAAGCTATGAGACATCATAAAACAATCTCTTTTCATAAACAGTATGCAACTACAAAAAGTCATTCTAGAAGAGATGGACATTTTTACATACATATAATTAAACATCTTCTATAGTCAACTTCTTGTTTTCCAAATCTTTTCTCTTTAAAACATTTAATTTTATGATAGAAAGATTCTTTAATGAATTCCTAGTTATCTCTCAACTAATGAATGTTTTTGAACTGCCAGAATACTGGGAAATGAGTGCAGGAGGCAGCGCTAAAACCCAAGCTGAAGCAAAAGGGCACCACAGCCCCACATGACTTCGTGACCCAAGGACAGAGAGCCTGCTCAGATTAAAACTGCCGACTCAAGGGCAGCAGGCACCCCAGCTACAGCATAATCTAAAGTAACCAATCATTGGGTCAATGCAGAGATTAAAGGACACTTGTAGTTTTGTTTTTTGCTATAGAAAATAAAATACTCACCTTTGCTCCAGGAAGTACTTCATTCTGTTTCAGTGTGAGACTCAACTCCAACCTACCAATTAGCCCTCCAATCTGCACTGGGTCAGAGGGTGCTACCTCTGGTAAATTTCTAGTTAGTTGTGGGTGTGGCTCATAAACAATTTTGGGATTCCAGCTAGGTGACAGCTTCGGCTCAGATTCCTACAATAGTGCAATAAGAACAAAGTAATTCTTCAAAATACTTTGGCATAAATAAACTGAAATGTAAAATACAAATGTCAACCTAAAGAGAACACTTGACATACAAAATTGTATTATGCAAAAATGGATAAGCCAATATCTTGGAGCTAGCATGAAACACAGCAGTATATTAGCATAGTACTCTGGTAGTAAAGGAAAATTGTGGAAAAAGATATTATGAAGAAAACAAGTATCTGCTCAAATTATAGCAGTAAGAAAACTTAATTACACTCTATAAGAAAATCTGATTTGCAAAATTATGTCAAAAGTAAATTATAGAAGTCTGACTTAGAAAAGGACCCTCTATTCTTAAAAAGGAATAGCAGAGTTCCTTAATTATAAAGCTTCTGAAAGCTTTATACAATGGTTGGTAAGATAAATTTTCAGCAATATATTCATTATGTAAGGTAAATGCTTGATTTCCTATTTTTGCTGTTAAAAAAACATAATATGTTTATATACCATTTTCCCCCAAGACATAGTATCCAATGCTTCTCTATCAAATTAATATACAGCATTGGTATGAAAGGGACTAATTATGAGTATTTTAAAAGTCTCTGAAAATATACATCCCCATTACTGAAAATTTGTGTGAACTTCCAGATCAGACAGAAATTCATTAACACATATTGTATATCCTAACAAAATACAATAGCCCTCACTTAAACCTTTTAAAACTGTATGAATTCATTTTCAGTTTTCTGGTTTTTGTTTTTCGTACCGCTGGTGCAGTTGAACACACTGGGGAAGATTTTGCTGATGCAGAAAACTCATCCCAGAAAAGAGACACTCCAGAGAGCTGAAGAGACTTGTGAGCAAAAGCTGAGGGCTGGTGTACATTGATTCCTGAGGGTTCATCAGCAGTTTCATCACAGTACATGGTCCTGGACATCACCAACAAAAAGAGCACTGCATAAAATACCTAGGAAAGCCTACTGACAATCAGAAGAAATGCACAGAGCTTTTAAAATGCAGCAGGTGTTGGCACATGCCTGTAATGTGGGTCAGTATTACCACACTTTACTTCCGTAAATGTTTTCATGAAGAGACCTTAACCCAAAGGAGGGTGACTTTATAAGGCTCCTAAACTTGGGGAAACAATTCTTGTACTCCCTCACAAAGATTCCTTGATAACAGTAAGGCAGCATTGGGTTCCAAGTAACAAGTCTGGCATAAAAGATACCACTGGAGTTCTTATAATTAGTCTAAGAGTTCTTATGACTAATCTCAGTTTAAACAAAATACAGAATATAGTTCTAAGTGCATAAGATTTTAGATATTTTTAATATACCATATAAGGTAATGTAAGCCAGTCTCAAAGATCTGTTAACAAAACCTGCTTCACTTTCTGTGAAAAACAGAAACCATAATGTATCTGCTTAAAATTTAGTAGAGGCCCCCAACAGATCCATACACAAAGTGTCACTGATGCTCAGTGTACATACTTCATGCTGCTTATTTCTGTTGGTAGTTCATATGCCATGAAGACACAGATGAGCAGTCACTACCTCAAATCAACCCTCGGAGTATATTTGTAAATCAGTCCCTCTTTTAGAGCTATTTATGGGGCCTCCAAGTGTGCATATCTAGAAAACTAAGTGATGTGTTAATATATTTGTAAGTAAATCATTATGGCACATATTGACCTTAAAATGCCTCACATAATCCTCAAAAAAAATACACAAAAAATAGTAATCTTAGGCTTTCTCACTAAAGCAGCATTTAGATTAAGCACAGGAAAGCAAAAAGGCCTTTCACATTAAGGACACATGCCTAAGTAGGCATTGCTCCTATGAAAAACTCCAACAGAAGTGCCTCAAATTTGCACCACTCAAATATTATTTTAATTTGATATTAACTAAAAAGGAATTATTTGTGTTGAATTTAACATAGAACTATATATAGTTACATCCAACTGGTCCTTTTAATTTTCAATAATGGTATTAGAACATAATTTGGAAAGCAGCATTTTACTTTGAAATTAGGAAATCTATTAATTTAATATCATCACCTCTAATCTCCAAAAAGCATCGTGAAATCTAATGAGAGAGTTAGATTTTATTACTTATAAAGGAAACGAATAGGGTTGTTTTCAGATATTAAGAAGTCTTACCTTTCTATTCGAATTTCAAGTGCAGTTCCAGTTTTGGAATTTTCTGGCACATGTTCAATTCTCAAGACAGTGTCTATAAACGTGACTTTTACTCTTCTTAATACTAGAGTAAACAGGTAACCATCAACATGAGACCGTATGTATACTAAATAAAAACTTCTAATGAAAGGAATAAATACTAAATTAGTTTAATCAGAATTTACAAAATAAAAAAGCTGAATTTCTTTGCCTAAAAATCCCCAAATCCTGAGTTTTATAATAAATATTTTGCCTTACTAAACATTTGGCCATGTTATATGTCAACA